TTTTTTTTTTTTTTTTTTTTAAGTTGAGGATTTTTTAAGTTGAGGAAGTGGCACTATTAATTTAACCATAATTTTTTAAAGCTGAACAGAAGATTTGAGATTATATTTGACTTGAATAAATTTGGGAATAATATTCTGATGTTTTCATTTTCATTTGAGGAAAAAGAACAATGGTTCAAGAATTTTATAGGCTTAAAGTGTAACTTGCAAAATCGGTTCTTTTCTGTTGATATATTAAACTGAAAGGGGAATAATCGTGAAAAGGTGGTGAACACGAAAAGTATAAAGTAGCCTGAAACAGTTAAAATACGAAACTACAATTAAAATAAATTCGTTAAAACGAAAATAATAAGCAGTCAATATAGTACGAAACGAAACACTATTTATGCATCAAAGAATCAGCAAAACAAATACCAAAAGAAAATATGACAAAATCAATGAATATTAAAGAAACAAACAAAAAAGAGAAACTCTCCAAATTCCGGAAATGAAAGAACCGAACAATCACGTGGGATGGTGATGTCAAACAGAAATGGGCATAAATGAGCAAACGGAAAAAACTAGAACTTTCTCAAAAATGTCAGTAGGTAACTAAAATCAAGAGAGAGGGAAACGCTCCAAAATAAAACAAAATTCAAAATATTCTCAACTCATACAAAATATTCTCTTCTCAGATACTCTCAACTCGGTTACAAGCGAAAACATCGCGGACGAAAACGTCGCGAAGAAAATAAAGCAAGGCGAAAACAAATTCATACAAAACATCGTGGGAGAAAAGAACGCAAGAAAACATAGTAGTTCAAAAACATTGTCATCGAAAATAAAGTGATTCAAAAACTTCGCAATTTAAAATCATAGTCGTCGAAAATATCATATTAAAAAAATAAAGCGCCTACAAATCATCGCGTGACCATAATATAGCGAACATTACGTGTTTTCAGGTTTAAAAGTTGTAAATGCACATCCACATTATGATTTGTCAGCGCAAAATGGAATGAGGAATATTTTTAGTTTTATTTTTGTTTTTTGAACTAACTAATAAATTTTTACTGAAAATTTCAGGAGGAAACTTAAGCATTCAAAAACTGAAAATGAGTAGAAAATTAGTGTGATTTATAGCACTCAACAGAATTTTGATAATGTAATAATTAGCTAATCAATTTTAATAGAGCTAACCATATGCAGTTACTCATATTCTTTTTCCTAATTACTTTTAGAGTATGTTTTTCATGAAAACTACCAATAAAACTCTATAAAAATGATTAATTAATTAATGGCCTTTATATATAAAAGTTTTAAAATTCAGCTAACCTATAATTATTACCTATACCTATAATTATGTTTCTGCTCACTTTTAAACTTTGAATGCTTAAATTTCCTTCTTATTTTTTTCAGAAAAATTGTATTAATTAACTGAAAAATATAAAATATAAAAGTAAAACATTCCTCCTTCCTTCTTGTGTTCACAAATCGTTATGCGAATATCCCGAATTTTCAAAACGTGTGTAAGCGACGTTATCGTCATGCGATGATTTTTGTAGCTGCTTTATTTTTTACTACGATATTTTCAACGATGATGTTTCTAAACTGCGAAGTTTTAAACCGCTTTATTTTTTATGACGATGTTTTAGAACTGCGAAGTTTTCTCCTTGCTTTCTTTTCTTTTACCATGTTTTGTACGACAATGCTTTTTGCCTTACGATGTTTTCTCCGCGAGTTTTCAGCAGACACTCTCAACTCAGTTTAAAAAAATCACTTATTCCAACTATTGTTAACTGTGCTAGATTTTATGCTCTCCTTAATGTCCACAAAATCAAAATTCTGTTTCGGCCTATAGTTTCGAAATCATACCCTTTGGCTAAATATTTATTTTCTAGTTTTCTGCCTTTACTTTAAAAAAATTTTTACACTGTAAAATATTCTTAAATAAAAGTCGACGATAAATTTAAAAATATCTCTCCTCTGCATTCAGTTATGGTTTATATTTATTTTAAATCACTGTTTACTAATGTTTTGTTTCTGTCGAAGAAGCAAGAAAATGTCTTGAAACTAAGGTTCGTGAATTCCATTTCACACATACTGAAACTGAAGAGATAATTTCTTTTACTAAAATATCTTTGAGTCCAACACACTTTGTTTTCTTCTTTTTTGCCTCCTCAAACTAAATCTAAAATATGTATTTCATACTCTGAAAGTTTGCTCCTCAGAATCTTTGCTTTCTAACGAACTCAATGATATGCAATTTGACACAGGATTTTCTCTCATGATTATTGATAAAACCTTTAAGAAATTTTCTTCTTGCCATCAAAGAAGACATTTAGCTGTTAGTCCGTCTGCATATGCGTTTCTCCCAGTGACGCTACGCGTTTGCAACGTACTAATGGAAACGGGCCTGAGTTTACGGAAGTTCGGTGGTCGATTGCATTTATTGCCACCAAATGTCTCTGTATTTAACTTACTGCTATTCCATGTCATGTCTATGCTGACCTATGTTATGTCGCCATGCAATGTCCACCTGTCGTATAGGTAATGCAACGCTAGATATTTTATGTTGTAAATATGTTATGCTCTAGATGGAGCGGGTCCCGGACTATACCCGATTAGTCTTGAAAGGTTATCCGGGTGCCCCGCCCTGCTGTCACCTGCATTTAACTTACGGGTTTGGATTCTTAAGATATTTTCATGCTATTGGAAATATTTATTTCTGCTTATGAACTATGAAAGTAAAGTACGCTAGCAATTTTACATACATTTAGAACAATACACATTCTTTGGTTGAACGTTGTTGAACTCCATCCGTACGTTATCCGTCACCGCACATCGACCGGATTACAGATGTCAATCAAAGTGAATTCGTTCGCTGATTGGAGAAACGCATACGCACCGCATACGCATACGCAGAAGTGGAAACGGACCTTTTAATTTGAAAATCCATTTAATTCTACTGCCAAAAAATGTTCTGATAATCTTTACTTTCTTAAATTTTTCTGTGCTAAAAGTAGGGTAAAATAGAAATCATATTGATATGGCTTTTTGAATTGTGTTCTGATGCATTTTTATTAAAGGCGCACAATTTGAAAGCACAGAAAATTGAAAATCCATACAGATCGATCAACAAGTCAAGGATATCAACAAGAAATAATTAAATTAAAAAATTTATAAGAAGAGACAGAAGCATAATAATTAAGATTTGCCTTAAACACTAATGAGGAATTATAAAACTTGCATTTTTTCATTTATTTTATGTCTGATATAATTTAATAATTAAAATAAACAGAAAATAATGAACTAACGTAATAATAAATAATATTATGATGGTATATGCAATATATACGGATATAAACTTGCGTAACTATTTGTTTAGTGTATCTGTGAGTGTTGTTTAGGACTGCAATGTAAAACTTCTGCTCACGCGATGTTTAATTGCAGCTTGACGCAGAAAGAGAACATTTCGAAGTTATCTGAATTCTTTCTTCAGTTCCCCATCACAGAAGTTCGTGCACAATTGAAGCAGAGTGAATGGATGGTACGATGGAAATATATGCTTTGAGCATCGCTTAATTCAGGGTTTCTTAAACTTTTTTTAGTCGTGACCCCTTTTTATCACTGAGATTGTTTCGCGAGTTCCAGGTCCCCCATAATATTTACGAAAATTTTGTGGGACCCCATAAGCATTGCGCAAATCCGACACACGCGTGTGTGAATCTGTCAATTTATTTTACTAGTACTATAATATACGATTGCAGTTTTAGGTCATTAATTTCTAATTTTTAAGTCATAGAGCAATGTGAAAATTTTAAATAAGTAACAGAAAAAAGGACAGCATCACGTGCAAAGCAAGTAAAATGAACGTTTTCGTTATAAAAAGTTAGACAGATAGCCCTTGTGTGCTTTGCCATAATTAAATACACCACACCACACCACCACACCATTATAAAAAGAATGCGGCGAAACGTTTTCCTTTATCTTTGTCTGTATTGTCTTAACTTTATTTATTTACAGATACATTATGTAAAAATATTTGGTAACTATAAAATTATTATAATAAGTTAAAGAAATGTCAAGACTGCTAAATTCTTTGGCGACCCCCTTGAGGGAAGTGACCCACAGTTTAAGAAACACTGGCTTAATTCATGATTAAACAGCTACAAAATTTTGTAAATGTAAACTACAAGGTTTTGTAAAACTACAAGGTTTACTAAAACTACTAAACTAGTAAAACTACAAGGTTTTGTAAATGTAAACTTATCTTTATCGGAAACTTAATTTTAGGACTGAAAATCAGTTTATCTTCATTGTACAACACTGGCAATTATTATTCATTTACCGTTAACTTAATATTGAAAAAATATATAACAGGAGCAAGAACTATACGGAAACTTAAGAATTACAAATTTAAAATCTGGTTACGTATAGAAAGTCAGGCGACTTACCGCCCCTTCTTAAGAGTTTTAGTGAAATAATTATAAATTCAAAAGAAGGCTTAAATAAACTTTTTCGTTGCAACGTATCAACTACACAACTCGTGAATCGCAAAAAGAGTCATTGTTACTCGCGGGATCTCACAGAACACAAATAGCAGATTCAAATTTAAGTAGATAAAATATGGAATTTACAGGGCGAGATCGTACTAAAGCTTTGGCTCAGCATTCCAAATGTGTGAGAAAACACAGCTAGCAAAAAGCTAAAGCCAATCTAGATAACTCTAAAGGCTTGGCGAAAAACAGTAGTACGAAAGTCAGCGTCGCTGCCAAAAGCTCTTGGTTCAAGAACACTGTTCTTATACGTGCCTTAACTAACTTGCATCCTGGTGGAAGACGACGAAAGTAAAAGTGACACTCTATATAAAATAATAAGATAAGTTAATGTGCATAAATCTTTATAGAACAACAATAATAAGGCAGAATCTTTTTAAATTTTATTTCTGAACTTATTAATATTGTTTAATTACTTAACATTAAAAACAATTTTTCTACCGAGGTCATTTTATTTAATTTCAGGTTTTCGTTTAAGGCTGATTGTCATATGGAACTAGATTACTATCCATTTGATAGCCAGAATTGCCAGTTTTTCCTTTCATTGTGTAAGTAATATTCTAAGTACAGTTTCATAAAGTGCATAATACACTTGCTTAGAAATTAAGAAAGCAAATTTTATATACGCACGAAAGCTGTTTTAGAGAGCTTTAAAAACTTTTACTTCTACCTTTCTCTCTACTTTGAAACAAATTTAATGATTCATAAAATGACATTATTTATTTTAATGTAATATGGAACAAAATTTCTCGTGAAATTGTTAAGTATTTGATGTCCTAGGATGACATAATGTTTTAAGGAATTCCATGTTATTAACCCTCATCTAAAGTAGAACACACTTTTGTTTTACTTCATGAAGTTTTATCGTGCATAACATTACTTTTCTTGCGTGACATTTAAAATTGCAAAATATATTATCATATAAATATTAAAAGGGGATCTGATCAATAACTGTGTGTCGCTGAAACAAGATTCAATTAATTTTCTCATATATTGCGATTTAACTTTTTGTTTACGGCCTTGAAAAGCGAATATACCGTACTAGGCAAAAGTTTATGATATCTCATATTGATTGCTTTAACTACATTGGTTTTATATTGAAATGGGTTTAGTCCTTATATTTCACTGCACAAACAGAAATGCGTGTTGTACAGAAATCCTTACAATGATACACAAACAGTTTAAGGTTCTGTTTTGGCAAGAAAGCTGCACTGCGTTTTAACGTGGGAATATGAGAGATGCTGAAACTTCTTTTTTATTTGGAATATAATTGTTGTTCTTTTGCGTTACAGAATGAAAAAAAAAAGAGCAATACATAACTGCATGAATGGGAAAATTAATTGCAAAATCAAATTCTGTAATCACTAATAAGTTAGGATTAAGTCATTTGTAATTAGTAAAACATATTCTTCATTTAATTTCGAATTGGAAGTCTCAGTTGAGTACAGCTAACAAATAAGTGAACATCATCTTTCAGAAGCAAATATAGTTTGGCTTTCCGAGGTAACATTACATACAGGTATTCTGATTTGGTACTATTAGGTCATTTTATTGGTTAGAAAGTCTGGTGATAAAGTTATAATCATTCGTAAACATAACAGTTGTAATCAAAAGAATCGTCTGGTGAAATGAATGCTCACCAAGGGTCATCTGCTTTTACACTGCTAACCTGGTATTCCGTACTTAAAAATGAACGGCTCCAAGGTCATGCGCCAACTTCCACATTCGTACTACACCATATAACTTGCGTATTTCTTGCTCCCCCCGCATGTTCCCCCTTAGTTTTTTCAGCATTTGATTTAAAAACTTCTAATTTATGGAAACAATGTCAGACAGCAAGTTATTTTGCGTAAGTAAAAAAAAATATCACTGCAATTGATAATGCCCTTGCAATACATAATCAAATTTTACTCATTTGTCTTTGATGTGCGTTTCTGAATGCGTTATGTTTATCATTTAAGCAGTCTCTTTAGAAATAGTATACTCTGCGTATTTTTTCCTCCCAGTCTCCAAGTGGTAAAATTGGTTGGAAAACGGGGAAAATACGCCAATAAATTCGGTAAATCTGTGCATGTGCTTTAGTTTATTTTCGCTTAAATACACTCGTATGCAAAATTTAGAGAGTTTGTAAATTATATCTATTTTTACGAATAGTATTGAACCAAAGGAGTTAATTATACCACCGAAGAAATATGCAAATATTCAGATTTGAATGCTTAAGCCTACACTTGCGTGTCTGCGGAGCTGAGATTGTGGAAGAGATAAAGCCCATGAGAGGTTTTCTTTCGACAGTTTGTGCACTCACCTTGTCTTTTACAATCATAAATTTTATCATGTAAATTGAGCAGCTACGAACGTATGAATGAAGGAATGAGATAGAGAATTTTCGGTCGATTGGAAGTAGGCCAACCACAAGTGCAAGTGGGATTATAGAGTTCAATGGAATGCACATTGTTATCTGCAGTTTGTGGAAAAACTTTTAGGACACTGAATATATATCAAAAAGAGCTGGCCAAGGTTGACCAATATCCACAATGATGAATGAGGAGCGTTATTTGGCACTTTCAACGCGGCGACGCAGGAATGCTGCAACTTCACAGCTCTCACGTAAGCTGTATGCTACTACGGGAACCAGAGTTTCATGGTCTACAGATGCCCGAAGGCTTCATGAGATAGGGCTGTATACCAGAGGACCCGCTGTTTGCACTCAGCTCAATGCAGCGGACAAGAGAGCGTGCTTAGCATGGTATAGACAACATTTACCTTAGCCGGACTTCAGTAGAGTATCGTGCATTTAACAGATGAGTCGAAATTTAGCCTGGATATTGATTCTCTGCGTACCTGTACCTGGAGAGCCCTGGAACTCGATATCATCCCTCCCTTTCAGGGAAAAGGATCGTTACGGTGGTGGGAGTGCAATGGTTTAGGCAGGCATCATGTTGGACGGCCGAAAACCTCTGCATGTGTTTGGAAAAAGCTTGCTGATTGCTGTGAGGTATTAAGATAGAAGATCTTAGAGCTCCAAATTCGACTTTGCTAGGGTGCATTTAGTTCTGGTTTCCTATTAATGAACGGCAGACCTCATCCACACAGGGCTCAGCTGGTTGACAATTACCTGGAAAATGTGGATATTAGTCGCGACCACTGGGCAGCCAAATTCCCTGACCTTAACTCTATAGAGCATATCTGGAACACTCTTAGAAGGGCAATTTCACTTCGCCATTCACATTCCAGAACCATCCCTGAGTTGAAATCTGCCTCCTGTTCATAAATGCCGTCATGATACGCGACCTTTCTGGTTGTGAGAGGGCCATATTCTATATTAGACTCATTTTCATTCGTTATCACAACGTGGACTTTTGATATCCCTGTACTATGAACTTTACTGATAATCATGCGTATATAAAATGCTTTTTAAATTGTGCATCGCTTTCTCTGTTATAAATGTATATTCATACCAAATGAGCTTAAAATCTGTCCATTAGTATTTCAGAAATTCAATATAATGTGCAAATTCTCTTAATTTTACGCACGAGTGTATTATAAGCAACTAGCGTCATATAACACTAAGCAAAACTGGGGAAAAGAGAAAATGTTTTAAGAAGTTAGAAGACTAGGTAAATGGAATTTCAGAAATAATTACAGTAGAAATTATAATTATTAAATGAGCATGACATGTTTTGTAAAACATACAATGTTTCAAAAGACTTTTAACTCTCAGTTTTAACCAGATTACATATGAAACCTTACTGACTGAGATTTCATTGCCTTTATCATCAAGAAACTGTTTTAAAACGTTTTTCTTATAATATGTAAAAAAAATCTTTTTTTAAAGTTTTCACAGGAAATTTTAACTACGTCTGTTAATTACAAACATAATACATTTTCTTCTGAAGGTGTGAATTTCTTCATTTCCTCTTGATATCTACTGAGACTTAATGTTTGAAATTGGTATCGGGTCTTTATGTTCGAAATGTACTGATCTTTTACATTTTACCAGTGATTATTATTGAAGATCTTGCAATTACTAATTTATTTGTTTTATGATTTGGTTTCTTTAGTAGTTTCTTCAGACCGTATTGCTCGCCTAAAGTGGATTGGTGAAAACCAAAGTCCTTACAGAAACGAAATAGGCTCCATAAGCATAATGAGGAAAATTGAACTCATGCAATTTTATCTGTTACAGCCGAAAGTCAGCTCTTTTACAAAAAGGACTATTGAAGGTTTGTGTGTTGATTTCAAAGCCTCGGTGTTTTTTACTAATACGCATATGAATGTTATAAAAAAGAATTATGCAGAATTATTGTTTTAAGAAATTAATATGCTTAATGAAAGTAACTTCGCAGAATATGAAGAAAAATTAAATGAAATTGTTAAAAATGTCCCACCCGTCACTGACTAAGGAAAATTAATATACACTCCATGCATTAGTAGCTTCTTTTAAACCTTGAGTCCAGCAATGATGGAGTGGAGCTGAACACTGTTAGTTGAAGCCACGTATAAATATCGACAAAAGGGTTAATTGCATGGGGTATTTTTTAACTTGCAAGATAAATAGGAGCTAGTTTCTCTTAGAATATCCTCCACGAAGGCATAGTTATCTTAGAAAGTACCTCTTGCATGCTCTGCCATAATGAATTTACAATCTAAATTCGATTCTTGGAGTAGTGGGATATTCTATCCCAAGCAAACGGGCTGATTACATGGTTGGTTTTTGTGGTTTTCCCATGTGTAACGTAACTACGAACCGGTTTCCCTTAAAATGTCTTCCACGAAGGCATCCCTCCATTTAAGCAGATAACCCTCGTCTGCTTTTTTTCATTCAGTTAAAAAAGTCTAAGTGAAGCTAAGCCTAACTTGGAGCGAATTTGCTTACATTTGAAACTCTTAATAGTATAGTGAATTAATTCAGTTTGGAGCAGCAACTTGAGTGTCACTCTACCCAGAGAGACCGAAAGTTAAATTTTGGTGCACTGAAAGTTTTATCTTTTCACTTGTTGATCGAATTACTTGTTTTTGCTTAGAAACTCTAATTTTAATAGTAAAAATTATTTTTTAAACTGCTTTTAACTGCATACAGATTTTAATGAAGATGCTTCGGGATTTTATGTATTTTTGTCTTGCCGCGAAGTGAGAACTGAATTGATTCAGTGAGAAATATATCTTTAATGAAAAGTCGATGAAGTAAATTTAATTCAAGTACAGCAAAAAATATGCATAATTTAATAGGCCATACATGGAAGCCATGTGGTGTCCACACCAGATATTTTCTTCAACAAAATTATAATCTTTTGAAAAGGTCTTAATTAACAGCATATAATATTACTTCAACATAGTTCAAGATGTTATAATTTTTTCGGTGCCAACATAGTGGTCAGTTTTTTTAACATTTTAATTAACAGCATATAGTGTCGCGAGAACGTAACTTGAGATGCTATTATTATTTTGCGTTGCCAGCATATCAGTCAGCGTAATTTAACTTTTTATGAACAACTTATATTTATGCTATAATACAATTATTTTCCTAAACAAATCAGTATAATAGTACGTAAAGGAACTGCATCATAATACAGTAATTGAGCAGAAGTATTAAATATGTTGAGAAGGGCGTCTTGTTTATATTATAAGTCCCCCTTTCAGTTATTAGCGTTCGCCCAATGAAGCATTATTTTTTAAACAAATAACATGTTTAAAATAAGAATATGTTATAAATATCCATAACCTAATATAAAGAAATATAGCGCCGCTATCAGTTGAAAACTGCCAAACTACATTTTGACGAAATTCAAGTACATGGCTTGTCATCTACTTTTGTTGATGACAAAGGAAACAAATAATCAATACCGTGACATTTTAGCAGCGAATTCATAAAAAGTCTTCGAAACAAAAAGATAATGGCATATTTTCATAAAGACCTGAATCCACAATGAGAAGTAATAGCTGAATAACAAAATACTGAAAACTGGATATGCGGAAATAAGCAGTTTAAAAAAGATCTTTTAAGCGTGAGAAATTTGGCATCAGTTTTCTGTTATGGGAAAAGGACAAGTGGTTTTGAATTTTAGCATGAAGGAAATGTTAAAGAATAAAATCAACTGGTCTAACAGTAGTAATTTAGTACTTGTCTTTTGAAACGGCCTTAGCGACAGATATTGGCGTTTGCGCATTTCCGTCCTGAGAAGGTGCGATTTATTGCCATGGACCTTATAAGAGATAGACTAACCCAGTAGGCGGGGCGCGCGTCACCGACATGTCGGCAAGAAAGAGTAGGGACGATCTGGTTTACTTTAACACTGAAACCTATGGCGTTGTATCACATAACTCTTTTTAATTATTAAATGTGATACGTTGTATAGCGATGAGATTATGAAAGCCAGAGTTTTTTGCAAATAGAATTTAATATATCTCATTAAAGCACTTTTTACTGCATTTCGCACATTTTTTTCACGCTTAATTCTTGTACAAACATCTTTACTTTGGTAAAACGGTAAAAATTCTAAACACAAAATTTATGAACTTAATTTTGCGTACAAATAACGTAAAATTAAATAAGATTAATAGTACATGACGCTTTGAAATAAATAAGGTAAAATTAAACAAGATCTGATATTTGTTATTAAAATTTAATGACTATTTTCAGGCAGTGATTTTCAAAACTATAATAACATTACAAGACAATCATTTATTTGATTATATCATCATTAACTTATTAACATTAAAGTGGAATATTTATTTTAGTAATTTATAAAATTCGGAGCATAAAATTTTCTGAGTGTAATGAAGGGGAGGAATAAGATAAAATAAAATCTAGAAGCACTCAGATTTTATATTACGCCCAAAAGGAACCTTTTTTTAACATTCTGTGGGTTACCTATATTTATTGAATATCATGTTCTTCGCCCGTAAACCACATACATTTGAAAACAGCCTAATCTTTAGAATTTCCGCACTGGAGATAATACTGTTATTTTCCTTACAGTGCTCGCTCTGAACTCGTTGAGTTTGTTAATCGAAAATTCGTTAAAGTTTTACAAAATATGAAAGAGATTAAAACAAATTCGAAACTCGGCCGTCCAAATGCCCATGTTCGGGTGGAGGATTACATTATTCAAAATTTGATGGCTCTAGATACTGTCGTTTTTGTCACAGTGCGAGAAACGTACATGTATTCATGCAGATTCTTCATTATTTAATTTCTTTAAATATAATACAGGGCGATAATATTTGGTAACAACAATTTGCAAGGAGACACGGACATTTATAGTAAAACAGGGCAAAATGCCGCTTCGAAACTAACAGCCTTTCTAGGCTACGGCCCCTTTTGGGCTAATAAATTAAATTAACAGTAAATAAAAAAATCTTCTGCAGAACTAAAAATAAATTTAAAAAAACATAGTGGTCAGTTAATAACTATAAAATACAAGCAAAATTAATTATTACTGTTAAATACAATTTTAATATTAGAATTAAATGTTTAAAATCTTTAAGGAGTCAAAAGTGTTTATCACTATGATGTATTATGAAATATAATTGAAATAAAATTCCTTTATAGAAATTGTGTTATAATACTCATCTATAATTTTAAAAAAGCAGCACAATTTAGAATTTTAAACAAAATTTTCAAAAATTCGTTTTTAAATATTTTAGTATTTTTTACTTATTTACACCAATAAAAAGCATAAAAATTGCAAGAGAAAACTGCTTGTTTGACATTTTCTATTAGTTCAGATTTAAAATATTATTTTCTAAAAGAAGTAATTCCTTACATCAAATTTCCTTACAGCATAGGAAAAGCTAAAAAAATATCCAGCCCTGAAAGCATGCAATAGCTTTATAATTACTTGGAACGTTAATTATGCTTGATGAATATGCTAAATTTTTAAAAATCAATCTCAATTTCAAAACTAAAAATATGTAGAAATTCCAATTTGTGAAATGAGGCGCTACAACCAGCATTTTCTTGACAATTATACACCCTGCAATAGGCAACCACTGTTAAATTTCTGCAAGTCGTCCCTACTCCTCCGGACGTGATCAAGGTGACAGCCGGGAACGCCTCAGACGAGGAAGAAAACCCATTTGGGTTAGTCTATTTCTTATAAGGTCCATGTTTATTCCTAAATGTTGTAAACATCCAGGAAAACAAAACTGACTACTATAAAAGATAAATCGGAATTCATGAATTATCTATATAACACAAGTAATTGAATATATACATATAGAAGAAATTTAACATAAATTTGTATTTATTACAGTATTAAATACAATTTTGTCAGCAATTTATTTTAAATAACAACATAATTCAACAGAAATGATTTAATATTAACATTAATTATTAGATTTGAAGTAGTTATCTAAGCCATTGATTTAAAATCATAACATAATGATAGAGATCTTATTTAATATGTATGCGTTAATTGCCATATTTAATACAATTATGTAAGTATTTTATTTAAAATAATAGCATAAAAAAGCATGTCAAAAATTTCTATTTATTATTAAGCATGTAGAGACGTTAGGCATTTTTTTTTTTGGAAGCAGACAAGACAAAAAATGAGCAAACGTCTTCGCCGGGAATCGAACCACGGACCTCTGGAATACCTACCCAGTGTGCAGAACCACTGCACCACAAAGGCACGCTAAGAAGGCATGAGAAATACCCTTTAAGTGTATCGTAAAATTCTATTTCTTATTTTATACAATTCAAGTAGCAATTTATTGAAACAGCATTTATAAACATACCAGAAAATTAATTTCTTACAGACTCTTTTTGGTGGCCAAAGTTCAGCATTTGCTGCTAATGATGCCTCGACATCAACAATAGCTCCTTTTTCAGCTGATGTAAGATTGAAAATAATAAGCATAATGAGTATTTTACAGTGAAAAACCGATGATTTGACACAACGCTGTTACAGAAAATAAATAAATAAATAAATAAATAAAAAACAGTTAGATCTTTAACCATTAGTTTCTCATTCATGGGCAGATCGGTAACCGTTTGTTTCTCGCCAGTGTAGAAACGCGCCAAATTCATTTTTTCGCCAAGGCCATTTTAGAAGACAAGTACTTGTAACTCTTTTATCTAAAAATTTCACGATATTCCATTTCTTTCATGATGTATGACTTTATTTTTTTTTTTTTTCTCAATTGAAGCAACTGCAATTTAACACTTTATATTTCAGGAAATTATACAACTCTTATTGCTGATTTCACGATTGTGCGTCTACTAATTGGTCCCATCGTGAACACTTATATACCTTCAACCATGATTGTGAGTATGAGCTGGGTGAGTTTCTGGTTAGGTGTGGAAGCAGTACCAGGCAGAGTGGCTCTTAGTGTCACATCTCTTCTCACACTCTGCACACAGGTAAGTAACCGACTTTTCATTCCACAGAAGTCATGCAAAAAGAAAGAGTTTGTTCAACATTTTCATTCAACATTTTGTTGAACATTTGAACATTTGTTGATTTTGTTCAACATTTTAATAGTATTGAATTTCCTATTTTCTCTATACAGTGTAATAATTTAGGAATATATGACTGTATTTTAACTTGCAGTTTAATATTATTGCAATAACTAAGCGCAAAATTTTTATCACAAAGTAGTAAAATAATTTTCTCGAAATTCTTCCAAGTAATAATTTTAATTGAAAGTCATAATTCTCTACATCAGAATAATAAACGTATATAAAAATTCATCGTTCGTGTTCTTTAAAATTGCATGTGATAAAAAAATTATGTTGTATTTGCTGGAAATTAATTCAAATCTAGAAATTATAAATTCATTGTATGTCCATTATGTATTGTGAGATCTAGCCCGTAGCTCTAACTTAGTTCTGTCTAAATACAGTTGTTGAGAGTTATCGACAAGTTTTAACAAGATTCTACTCATTGTTTATACTTATTAATTAATCAAGAGAAATATGAATTAATCAATAAATACAAACAATAAGTAACAATAACTAAAATATCTGCAAGAAATCAGTATAAAGTACTGCAGTATAGTAACAATATTTAAAATATCTGCTGGTAATCAGTATCTTACTAGTTGCGCATTATTTGATTACAGTTAACCATTTTACGACTTGCAAGTCAATAACTTCTTATTATAACAATAGACTAGTTTTAAGGAAACAAACTGTTAGCCAATTTCTGGCTAACTATTTCACTTAGTTAATGAAAATGTTGAACAATTCTCTTAGCAAGTCATTAATGTCTGCTATACTTTGAATAGCGTGCGATATCATCATTTATACAATTTTAGTTTGCATACATCCATTTTAATTTGCATTTAATATGCACAGAGTAGGGACTTCATAGAAATCAGAAAAGAAAAATCAGAACAGTTTGAAACTTAACTGCTAAATAAAAATTCAATTTGAGACTTTATAGATTTATGTATATGCTACGTTACTGTGGTTAATTTGCGAATCGACGTATTGATCGGTCTAATATACAAAACATTATCATTACTTCGGGTACGGACAATTCCTGATTTCACTAAGTAAAACTGGTTACAGTTGAAAATTATTTTCATTTCGTTTCTATTAATTGTTGACGAAATTGATGCTCTTAGTGGATGAAAGGTTTGTTTATTATTTAGTGGCATAATTTTTAAAGGTTACATTTCTATCATTGGTATCATTGTCAATATATAATAAGAAATATATGTAACAATACCTATGAAATCTGAGAGGGTTCAGATTTTAATGGTCGCCTAAAAGGGCTCTTTTTAAGGTTTAAAGTGGTTTATCAGTAGAGATTATCGACAAAAATGGCACAGGTAGAATAGCGAAATACTTTATAAGATATTAGATAAAGTTGCATTTAGAATTATCATGTGAGCATTATATATCATCTGGATATTTAAAAAATGAAAAAATATGTAATATAATTCTATAAAAATATTTAATGATTTTAATTACATATATCATGAATTAAATGCATTTTTATTTATATCAAACAAATTAAAAAGTAAAAAATAATATTCTTAAGAACTGCGTCTATTGCCTTTAAATAGATTAGTTTGTTAATTAATGATAGATATTAAATACGAAAGAATAATAGCTTACGCTTTTTCCGAATGGAAACAGACACGTATGAAAAGGGAAACAACGCAAAATGGCGTTTTGAGAATAATAGCCCTTTTAGACCAATGAATAGAGAAAGAAAAATGTGTTTCTTGAAGATGGGGAAAAACTTCGATTTACGATCATACGATATTTACGAATTAATACGATATTTTCACTATGATGAGCTTTATAAACGTCCATACAAGGAGGTAACTTTAAAAATTTTTGGAGCATCATGTTATGTTCTGTTACTCTATTTTGCGTTTATCTGCTTGCTTTGGCAACCGTTTCCACTGCAACAAACATTGCATTACTCCACACTCTTGACTTTCCACTCACATGTCACAGAATGACCAGCCTTTCACTGCCATCGATGTCTTTCGATCAACAATCTTTTTTTAACAATCTAAACTGCACTGTCTCACACCAGTACTCTATGGGTTGCAACTAGGAAGCATAGGTCACTAATGATCAAGCCATTTATATAATTTGAAGTCATTTATATAATTTGAAGAGCATCCAATGTTTGTAGTTCAATTGTTATCTAAAAAATTATTTAATTTTATTGCATTGTCCCATACTAGTAATCCTGGACTGATTATAAGTGACTATTAACCTGTAGATCATCGATGATACACAGCTTCGACAGAACCATTTTCCTTCGGTTTGATTTTAATTTCAAAATTTATGTAAGTATTCTGCACTGCCCAAACAGGTGACTACGCTGATGACGCAGCTAATTCGGAAGTTGAACTCAAAATTTCAAGAACTGAAACCTTTCTTATCTAAACCAAAACCTTCTCTTGGTGAGCTTCCATATTTGATAATTGCGAACTTTAGTTTCAAATCTTTTGCACCGAAGACGTTACTTCGTTCCCTTTGCTTTTTCGTGTTGCTAGCTACGCCATTTTTTAAAATGTGCTACTCTATGTAAAACTGTGGGGCGCGTCTTGTGCATACGATCATGTGGATAAAAAGTATGTTTCTGATAATTAGTTCGATTCCAGCAATAAAAGTTATGCTCAATTCGGCCACGTCTGTCTACAAGTCTCTTCTTGGAGTAACATTTTTTTTTTTATCTACGCAGTCTTTCCAGGTCATAATGTAGAGAACCATTGCCAATACATTGCAGCTTTCTCCAAGTCACCTTATTACAATAAAGTCGACAGGATTCAAACCTGGAGCCTCAAACTCTATGTCACTTGTGACCTTCAGTTTAATATGAATTTAAAATTCTATCTAAATTTACTGCAATGCTTTATACAAGGGTATAGGGTATAGTATAGACTGACTTCCAGTGACCATCAGTGTATATGGCAGACAACCTTGGCATTACTAGTGCGCGGTGGTGCAGTAAATTTAGATGGATTATAAAATTGAAAGAAAACCGAAACACGCTAAAAATCTGTCAATGATTATTGGCTCCTAGTGGCCTACACATTGACAGTCAATGGCAGTCAACCGATGTCTTTGGTGGTAGTGTAGCAAGTTTACATAGACTTGTAAACTGAAAAAAAAGGGGGGGAAGACATTTTCTGTAAAGACTGGTTGGTCACTTATCATCTACATCTTGACTGTCATTGGCAATAAATCGATCATCGATGATAACTACAATGAAATAATTAAATCCATGTTTTGTTTTGGTTTATTTGATTACGGCAATGAACACACGGGCTATCTGCTTAAGGGAAAGGATGCCTTCGTGAAGGTTTTTGTAAGACTAAATCCATGGTCACTAAACCATTAATCACCCACACTGTAGTTCCCACAATGACTATTGTGGAAACTACAATGTTTGGCAACAGTTATCAAAGCAAACAGCTGATGTACATACTAGTGTAATGTGATGTTAATTTCAAAATCTTTTGAAAGACTTTGTTAATCGCATTTCTAAAATCGAACATATCATAATGCTAAGCTCATTACTTGCTCCTGTGTTTCAAATGACTTTTACATTTTCAGAAACAAACTAATCTTCTTTTATTAATTTTCTTATTTATTTATTTTTATTTCACTTTCTTTTTTTGTGTGCGTGGAGCATAGAAATCGTCATATAATTTTCTGATTACATTATTAAAGATGGCCTTAATGACAAAAATGTGATTTTTAAAAGTTACATTGTAAATTAAAAGAGCATTTACGTTCTTGAGAAAATTTTAAAAAGCAAAATAAAGATAATTTCTACTTTTGTCAATTTCTTCTGGCCAAATCTGGAAATGGCTTGCCAAAACCTAAACTAGCATTGAAATTTCTATACATTTTGACCAGAGTGGCTGGCCATTTCGCGAAATGGTGGATTTCAGGCTTTGGTCGTAACGCATCTATTTAATCAATACTAGACATTTTGACAGAAATATAATGAAATATTATAAAATGTAACTGTTGAGGGAAAATGAATCGATATGAAAGTTGCCTTCTCTTTCCCGAATTGTCATTTTCACGCGCAGTTTGGTTTAAGCAACTTTAATTTTAACGTGAGTCGTAAGAATCAAGATAGAGCAATGATAAGCATAAATACTTAACATTAAAAATTCTGAGTTTCATATCAAAATGAATAAACTGTATAATAATTAAAACTTTTTTTTTTCTTTCTTTCTTTTTTTTTTTTTTTTTAAAGGTGGAGCAGTCTAAATCCCAACTACCGCCTGTGAACTACATAAAGGCTATGGATATTTGGCTATTTGTTTGCATAATCATGGTATTTTCAACTTTATTGGAATTTGCCATCAGTTACAATATGCACTCGAAAAAGTGTGAAAAGTGCTCCAAGCGGCCTGCGGTAAGATTCTCAAAATATTCTTTATGGCATCTATAACTATTTTAATTTTGAAATATCATAATGAAAAGAGAATTAAATAGATAAAGAAGTCTAGAAATTACCTTAAAATAGCCTTATAACCTTTTACTAGCTATATAAATAATAATAAAATAACTTATATTCTTAAAAAGGCAAAATCCTATTTAGAAGTCCTTAGAAATCCATCTACAAAAGCGTCCCTTATCTTAAATAGATAGCCCTTAAATGTTCTGTCATTATCAAATAATCCAACCTATTTAGAAATCAGAAGAAAATGTCTGTTCAGGAAAAACCCAGTCCCGAAAATCCCATTTCAGGAAAAACTAATACTACTTTAATAAGATTATAGCCATCATCAAAAACAATAAGCATATTATTTTTTTTCTAAAATAGTATGATGATTTTCTGTTTAATACAATTATTTTATTTTACTTTTCTGAAAAAAATTAATTTAAACAGGTGTTTATTAATCGGATAGAATTACTAATTTTCAACGATCTTATCCACTCGAATACTAGTGCGCTTTATTCTTAACAGAAACATTCATTTTGATTTCCAGGCCATAGAAGGAAAAGATTATCTCACTAAACTCTAGTAACAATTTCTTTCTTCATGTGGTTTCTTGCAACACTGTTGATTACAGTGATAGATTTGAATATGAGAATTTTAAAGACAACTATTCCATCGAACCTATTACGTCCGACTTCATACTTGAGGCGTTGCGCAGGAAAGATATCGCTAAAAAAGCTCACATCAGAGACAGCTGTTTTTGAATCGATTATTTTAGCGCTCAAGCTACGGTGCTGAAATTCTCGAGTTCTATACTTGGGAGAGTAGCATCAGCTAAGAAAAGTGATCTTCACAAGCCCCTTCTGTGGGAAAGCATCGCCTTTAATATCTAACTGAATAGACCAAGAGCAACTGATTCACAACACCAGTAATGGATGGCAACACGAGACCGGCAAAACCCAAATGCAGCTCGCGGCAACAACACCAAATATTGCTGTAGCATTGACTAGCTTAAGACGTGATAGGCTGCTTTGCTGCAACCACCTCCACACAGTCAAGGAACTGTGTCACAATAGCGTCGACCACTGCACCCACCAACGAACTGCGCTCCAGTAGAGTCGACCAGACGCTCCAGCTCCAGCCTATAACCTTACGGCGACACACATACCAACACACCGGGGTCGCTCAAGCACGCTCACGAGCTCAAAATACATTCGCTCACTGCGTTAGATACGGGATCTCTATCGAAATATCACTTAAGATGACAAGAAGCTATGGAGCGCTATGTTCGCTGCTCAGAAGATAACACTAAAATTGATCTCGACAGAGACAGCTGTTTTTGAATCGATGGGTTTAGCGATCAATCTACGCTGCTGAAGTTCCCGAGTTCTATACTCAGCAAAGTAGCGTCAACCAAGAACAACAATCTCACAGACAAACACCTCAATAAACATATAACTTAGTAGAACAGGAGCAACTGGTCAACAAAACCAATTATAGACAGTGCCATGAAACCAATAAGGTCTGGAAAAATTTCGGCTACAACAAGAGCAGTTCCCGCAGCGTACTTCTAAAAGTGCCCTTTTGGCTAAGTAAACATCTCTGTATGTAAATGCTGTACTTTTTTCTGTACACTATACTCCAACATACTCAATATTCTTTCGTCTTTCCATTATGTTACCATATACATAAACCTGTAGCAAAGTGTTATCTCTGTACCTTAAGATTCCCACATTCTCTGTCTCTCACTTAGCTCAAGATCCACTTGAATTGCCCTAGACAAAGACCTTTTGATTTCCTTTTACTGATACTTAGTCATGGTCTTCCTTACGGCTGTGCTGTTATCAAGAGCTGTTAGATATTATTTCCATGGACATGAAACAGCCTACCTTCTTGCAGCGCTGTATGCATGTATAAAATCTTTGTTCAGTGTTTCCAATACATAGTTTGGAACTATGAAAATTCTAAACTTTGGAGGTTCAGAAGTGAAGCGAGGGAAGCGGTGACTATAATCATAAGGATTAATATACGTAAAAAGCTCTAACAATATATAGATATCCTGGAATTTCTTAGGGGATTAATTCTTTATCACAGTATATAACAAAAGTGCAAATGCTAAATACTATCTTATCGTTATCACCAAATGTTTCATTTTTATTATAGTACCTCTTATAAATAAATAAGTTTCTATGCAATATTAACTAACATTTTCGAAATTGGATTATTCGAATCAAAACTCTTCAGAATATACATTAAACAACATTGCAGTTTTTCAGCATTATCAAATCATGCAGCCGCACAAACAGGAAAGACGCTGTATTCAGCTCACACAAATTACACTAAAAATGCCCAAATGAATAATATTTACATTAAAAGCATTCCCTCATTAAATTAATATTTTGGTAAAAGCGCAGAATAGGCTGCATCAACAAAGTTCAGTAGGAGGAGCTGTCTGACGTACATAAATAGGTGGGACTAAGCTTGTGACGTCACGGTAGTCTCCAGTCTCGCATTTACACTAAGCGTACTTTCTATTTTCTCTTAAAAAATAACAATAATAAATTGTTTTTTATTGTAAATTAGTATCAAATTCTTTATTTTTAATTTACATTTATAACATTTAAGCTTAGACGTTACTGATAATAAGCATAATAAATTGCTTATATTTAAAATTACTGTGATACAGTGAGAGAATTCTACCAATAACCTCCTTGAATTCTACCAATTATTAAAACGATAAACAACATCGCGGTCTCTAATACTTGTAGAGCTTCAATATTTTCAGATTTTTATTAAAGCATTTATACAAATAAAAAAAATTTAATTTAAATTCCCATTGTAGAACATTTCAATTTTATCATTTTTACAAATTACCTTCTTGCTACGTAACGACATAATTCCTTATGTCGGAACCTTTGATACCAATAATTAGACAATTTTCATTATTTTCTAAAAATTTTAAACATTACATTAATAAAAAAGAAGAATATTTTTTATTGCATGTGAACATCATTACACAACTTTCATATCAGTTTCTAAAATTCCTAAATCACGTCATATTCTCTGTAGGCATACTAGAATTCTAAGCATTAATAAGTAAAAAAATCTAATTTCTCAGAATGAAAGAACTAATAATATAATAAAAAATGAAATACTACAAACTTGGAACACTAAGCAATGCTTTCATACATACACACACAACATATTATGAATGAACTGATATTATCAAGTGCAATTACGATACCAAACACTACGTATTAAAATAATAAGTTACTTTTACTTCAATGTTTACAGTTTTTCTACTGTTGAGTAGATCGTCGGGCTATCAGATATATATCGTAAGTCGGAAAGCGTTATCAAACATATCAAAACCAAAAAATTAAAAATACAATTTAAATGAAAATGATGTGTTAAAGTATAATTCACAATAAAAACAACAATACAAATTTAAAAATACACAAACGATATGTTAAACATTGCACATAAATAAAGTTACATTACTGCTCGGCATCACACACAACCTCGTTTTCCCTTTTACACAACGATCAGTATTCGCTCGAAAAACATCAAAGAATTCCACAAACTCGGTGTCCATGTGCTCATCCATCTATTTTCACTTAAAGAAAAATCAGATAATTGCTCAAACTCGGCATTGCGCACCACATTGACTTTGCCCATGCGCACATCGATCTATTTTCACTTAAAAAAACATCCCAGAGTTGCACAAACTCGGCATTGCGCACCACATTGGCTTTGCCCATGCGCACATCGATCTGTTTTCACTTAAAAACATCCCAGAGTTGCACAAACTCGCCGTCGTGCACAACCTCGGCATTGCGCACCAAATTGGCTTTGCCCATGCGCACATCGATCTGTTTTCACTTAAAAAAAATCCCAGAGTTCCACAAACTCGACATCGCGCACAACCTCGGCATTGTGCACCCCATTGGTTTTGCCCATGTGCACATCGATCTGTTTTCACTTAAAAAAACATCCCAGAATTGCACAAACTCGGCATCGCACACTACCTCGGCATTGCGCACCACATTGGCTTTGCCCATGTGCACATCGATCTATTTTCACTTAAAAACATCTCAGAATTGCACAAACTTGGCATTGCGCACCACATTGGCTTTGCCCATGTGCACATCGATCTGTTTTCACTTAAAAAAAATCCCAGAATTGCACAAACTCGGCATTGCCCACTGTGCACACCGATCTGTTTTTACTTAAAAACATCCCAGAATTGCACAAACTAGGCATCGCGCCCAACCTCGGCATTGTGCACCACATTGGCTTTGCCCATGTGCACATCGATCTATTTTCACTTTAAAAAAAATCCCAGAATTGCACAAACTCGGCATTGCGTACCACTTAAAACCGTCTATACGGTTTTTCGCTCTACTAGTTTCATATTTGTTCCACCAATTGGGCACTTATACAATATTGCAATCAAACTTTTCTCCATACACCACTCAATAACGCTCTTTTTACCTCTTCGCTCCAACTGATAAAAAAAAATCCATATTCAGATACTCATCCATTCTGCAGTAAGCACCGATTTTGACACATTTATCAATTAAAAAAACATTCTTTAAGCAAAAGAATTCTCTTCTGTATTTTCAGAAGTTACCGTTATAATTTTTAACGCATGCATTCAATATTTTCAATCGTTTTGTAATGATCGTTTTCAATCGTTTGGTATCTTAATAATACATTTGTGAGAGATAATTCATTGCATTACATGCTAACACTACCACACAACTCACAAAAGTAGATTTATAATTTAAAAAAATCTCGTGCAGGAACATTACAAACCTAACCATTTCAACTCAGTTAAAATATAATTTAAGTTTTCTTCAAATACGAAGCTACAGCATACTTATAACTTATTTTTAAGAAGAGGCGTAACCAATATTACGTCATAAAAAGGCGTGTCCATGCGTAAAAGAAGTAAACACAGCATCGACTGATGCAGCCTATTCTGCGATTTAGCCAATATTTTTAATTAATTTTAATAATCGTTAATTTATTTAATTCGTTTTATCAGAAGATATTGCTAAAGTGCTAATGACCAGACCTGAAATTTACACTATTCATTTATTTTCATACCCAGTTTAAACGTCTCCTGTTGCCATTTAATATAAGGAAACTGTTCATACCTTATTGCTTGACTATTGACTAACGAATTACAGTGACCAGAATCAAAACGGAAAATAATAAACTAAAAAAAGGAAGCCTCAGTAAAAACTAGACATTTCTCAGGTATCTGTTTTTTGTTTAATTATGTTCACGACACTGCGATACCTACCTGCGTCTGTTTTAGAAATTGCTACCATATCGATTTCCGACGGACACCGCATAGTTTCAACGATCGTGGGCATACCAAAGATAAATCACCAGCGAGTAACCACATCAAAAGATAACCCCTGTCTTCGATGAACAAACCAATAATCAATAACCACGTTCACACGCACAATTTCGTAAGACTTATTAAACTTTGTGCCATGTTAAATGCAAATATCTTAAACAAACTCAAGATTAAACGTTTAATCAGCCACTTATGAATACTAATATCACTAAAGGCATGCCGGGGAAAAATGTAGACTCTCATATGTCACATGCATTTTATTTATAAGCAAACATAATTTCTAGCATAATCATGTTTTAATCCAAAAAGACTCCTGATAACTTATCACAAGATTAACACAGAATTCCTCAAGTACAGTATGGCAGCAGTTTACATTTTAAACCGGCAGTTTTACACTAGTGCAAACCGCTTCATATGTACGTTTTCGAAGAGGTAAATTCAACTTGTATAAAAATATCAGTTTAGAATATTACCCAGAAAGAAAAAATGTGGTCAGCGAAGTTTTTTGATTTTCAAAACCATATTGCCAGGATGGGAAGACATATTTGTTTAGCTCGCATGTATCTGTAGGATACACACAAAAATCAGCTTAACAAGAATCTCATCGACTGTTTATAGCGAATAGAGAAATTAGTGCTTCAAAATTTTTAAGCAGATTTTCGTATATACTTGTGTGTATCCCTTATTTTAAATTTTACTTACTTACCTTAAGAGGGGTGATAGTACTCATCCAGATGTGCAATAATTACCATAGAACATAGGGTCGCATTCCACTCTGAGAGGAGAAAAGAAGAATATTAGAATTCCAATCTGAACTTACAACATTGTTGGGAGAGCGAATGAACGAGATCAAATGTTGCACAATCAGTTTAGTGACAAACTCACAAAGAGTGCACAAAGCGGATAAAACCGAAAACTCGTATGTCTCTTCAGAATCGATCTGGGTTCGAATCCCCGCAAAAGAGTTGGCGTTTTCTTGGTTTTCTGCAGCATCCCTTCCCATATGAAACCCTAATCTGCACTGGCGCCACCAGCGACCGAATGGCTAACCCTTTGAATACTGGCAGTTCGACTCGGGTTCAAACCTAGGCAAACGGCTTGGTAGTACGGTGGACATTAATGATTTTCTCCATATGCAACGTGAATACAAGCCAGTTTTCTTTTGTAAAGGTCTTTCATGAAGGCATCCCCTTAGGTAAATTAGCCTCCTTAGGCTCTGCCACATTCAGTATAACCTATCCAACCTTTCTGCTGCATTATTTATTTAAGAGAGAAAGTACAAACGTATACATACGTTTTTTTATATGCATATCTTATATCAGTGATATATTTTTTTCTTACAGATTAATTACAGAACTGGAAAAATACAGAGAATAATCAGCAACAGATTTAAGGTGAAATCTGAAGGGAAACCAGGGGTTGTTCCTTGGATTCTTAGTGACAATGACATACGATTAGTGAGGTCGACTAAAAACGAACTCAAAGCAACCAGTGCCAAGGAAATGACTTGCCCCGCATGCTATGAAAAACACTTACGTGGTCAACGTGTGGACAGTATGTGCAAGATTATCTTCCCACTTTCGTTTTGTATCTTCGCCATGATCTACTGGATTTATTATATGAGTGTATATGAGGGAAATAACTGATAGTAGGTAGGGACAATTCCCTTCCTAACCATATGAAAATATATACTGTACGAACACCCACGAAGATGCGCTTAAATGGATTAGATCGTTCAGTTCTTTCTTTCTTTTTTTATCTAGTTTGGTTACATAAATTTAAAAGCTGGATTTTTACGGTCATATTCCTCATCATCGGGGAGGAATCTTGTTCTCAACATTATAGCTTTCAGAATGAAGTGTGAAGCACTTAAAAAAACTTAAATACTCATTATTGCAACTTCGTTTACCTGAATAAATATTTATTTTTAAGGAAAAAAAAAAAAAAAAAAAAACTTATTTCTAATAGTCTTGGATTAAAAAGCAGAAAACTATTAGAACCAGTACCCCTTAATTTTTATTCTAATTGTTCCAAATTTAAATAATAATAACAATAATGTATACATATAATACGCACACACACGTAGAAAATTTTGCTTTTACACATAGATGAGTTCTTCAAAAATATGCATAAAAATAGTACGTTACTGCGTACGAAAACTACAGAAATTTCAGATCCAGGAACTGAGTAAATAATATGTTGCATCCCAATAAAATTTTTAAGAATTTGAAGTAGCTTTTTGTCTCTCAGTTCCCCAAAGCTGAGCCCTCTAGTTACTTAGTTAAGATAGTTAAGATAGCCCTCTAGTTAAGATTTTCTCTTTTCGATATACCATGTTAATAGACGAACTTTCTCCCATATTTTACTAGGTTCTATCTCCATAGGTATCTGATCCTTGTCAATCCTTAGAGTCTTCTCCATCAAGTCTATTTTACTATTTTGTTGACCTTATTAAAATAATAGGAAAGGAAATACACGTTGAGTGGATAAGGAACACGTCGGTTTTGGCAAATTCTGAATGAAAAACTACCAGCGGCAAGAGAAAATTTTATTCTAACTAGGTGATCATAAACTCGCAACAAACAGACAAGAAGCCTAAGGTTTCATTCAGATGAAGACTTTTCGGTCATACGACTTTGTGTTTTAAGGCGTAAATATTATTATTATTAAGCCCTTTCAAACCTGTGTAACAAGGTTAAAGCTGTAACCAATCAGAGAAAGTGAAATTGCGCATGCATAAATCTGCAGCTGAATCAATGAAACAGTCGACCGAATGGCAGTTCGTTCTTGCTTCGCTGTGATTTGTCAGTTTGTATACCAAACTGGCATAAAGTTGAAAAATTACAACTTTTAGACAAAATCTAAATCAGTTTTTTATGACGCGGCAAGTTCTGGTTGCTTAGCAAGCAGGTCTGCAAGCTCAACTTTTACCTATTGTGATCGAAAGAAGTCGTGTAAACGGAGCCTTTATTGATAGTGCTTCAACTGCTGTGGGGTCCTAATCGCGACCTCCGAGTGTTCAACTCCTTTGTATGAGAGAGTGTTGTTAACCAAGGAGGTTAGTACAAACCTTTATGACCTTCCACAGCTGTTATGTATCAAAAAGTTGTACTTTATTTATGATGATGTTGTTTAAATAAATATTTATTTACCAAGCAATATTTTTTCATTTTTACATTAAAACACACAAACACTTTTTACTCTAAACACGAAATGAGAAGAGAGATATGGAAGAATACATTGAAGATAACGTTGAAAGAAATTAGTGCTGTACATATGCTATGAATTTAAAAAGAAAAAAGAAAAAGAAAAAAAAAAAAAAAAAAAAAAAAAAAAAAAAAAAAGGTCAATACATTTTACTTTCATTTGCAACATATCCAAAATTCAGGAATTTTGAATTACTGCTGATATTTTCTAAAATACCAAGAACGGGGGAATTCCTTGACCTACGATGTTGGGTTGTTTTTCATTTATATTCAATGCTTCACTAGCGGTGATTTTTAGAGCGCTATTAATCCAACATTATATACTTAGTATGTATTATCTTATAAAAGTAATTATACATTTTTTTTTTAAGTATTTGCATCTTGTTTTGGATTTTACATCATTTTATTATATTTTTTAATTCTCTTTAATGAATTATTAGTGAATTCCGTATTGGAATTACCATTCTGAGTTACTGTACTAGTCCCAATATAAAATAACACATATTCGTTTAACACGCTGTTCTGTTGTTGCGATTTATCTCACGAGTCTGACAACAACAACAAAGAAATTCATCATGGCAAGGAAGGCAAGACTGCGCCTGTCGTTGGCAAGAATTTTGAGCATCATACAGGTGACAGTACGACTTTGCTCAGTTTCGCTCCCAATTTTGATGGAGAGCACTCGGGGGGGGGAAGGAGCGAAAAACTACAACCCCCCTTTTTTTTTAACGTTGTCCAACGTTAAAAAAATATTTATTTAGATAATTTATCAGTCATTGTTTAACAGTTCTCTTAAACAGAAAATGTGTTAACTTAATCGTAGATCCGACGAATCGGCAACGTGGTGCTCGCAAAGCAATTTTAAAGTGCCCGCGGTTCAAATCAGACGAGTCATCGAAAGTTCAAAAAGGGTGATTTCGGGAAAAAAATTATAGATGTATTTTTCTTATCGGTTCTGTAGGTTTTCGAGATGCTGAATCCGAATTTTAAGTTTGTTACCTCGCCAGAGGCCGGTTTCACAACAAAAATCGGAAGAAACCTAAAAATTTTGGCACATTTTTCGGCTTTTCACTTATAACTCGAAAACAATACATTTTTGGAAAATGACCACTCTATGCAAAATTGTAATAAACAGAGACAAAATCTCCTACAAAATGCATATACAAGAGGCGCCTTGAAAGTTCAGTCAATGGTCCCATGTGTTAGAAACCGGGTTGATTAGGATGAGGCGCTCGCGCATACGCATTGAGAGGCATGTCAACAAGCGTCCCCTATCCTGCAAATCACAGAAGTGAAGCACTGGTCGTAGGTTGCGAAGAACCTAACGGAAGTGGTAGTAGAACTCGTGTCATTGGCAAAATGGACAATGCGTTAATATGAAGTTTTGCTTCAAGTTAAAGAAAGCTACAAAGAAGACTCATGGAATGTTGGTGCTAGTGTAAGGTGGTGAAACAGTGAGTGAAACGTGTGTGTTTGAGTGGTTTTAACGGCTTTAGAGACGAAAAGGAAGGTGTCGAAAGTCAACAAGCAAAATTCTAGACAACATCAAATGAGTGCGACGGATGCTTGTAGATGATCCGCTGTTGTCTTGGAGAATGTTAACAGAAGGTTTGAAGATAAGCAAAGGCAGTGCAAGAACCACTATTCACGAATATTTTAAAAAAGGCGAATGATTTGCGCCCGGTTTGTACTGTAAACGTTGATAGACGAGATCTGGAAATTTCATCGACATGTCTGAATGGAATCAGCAGTTTTTGTGAAACCACCATTACAGGAGATGATACTTAGTGCTACCAAGACGATCCGGAGACCAAGCGGCAGTCAATGGCCGGATTTTCATAGTGTTCCTTGCCTCCTAAAAAAAGTCCGTAGACAAAATCCAAGTTTAAGATGTTGGTCGTCTTTCCACAGCAAGGACTTGATCTACCGTGAATTTTCTACCAGAAGGTGAAACTGTCGACATGGAAATTTACAAAGGAATTCTGAAAAGGACTGTTGCAACGCACCCGGAGGGTTTGCCCAGAACTTCACCGGAGAGAACAGTGGAATTTCTTTCACAGAAACATGCGTCCGCATACTACGATCCGCGTGCTCAATCTTTCTCGCTAAACGCAAGGTTATTTCTCTTCAGTACCCTCCTTATTCGCCAGATATGGCACCGGCAGACTTTTTTTTTTTTTTTTTTTTGTTTTTGTTTTCCCGCCTTAAATTAGCCCTGAAAGGTTTAAGCTTCACAAACACTGCAGTTATCCAACAACGCGTGACTACGCTGTTTCCACAAAAAGCGTTTGCGGACAGTTTTACAACCAGTGTCAGAAGTGTGTTTTAACTAATGGCTTTGAAGGGCAGTAAAAGTATTTTGTTTGAATTCTTGCTTCCTTTATTTCCTAAGACCATTCACCGAAGTTTTCAGACGCATCTTGTATTAAGTTTAATGTTCGAACAATCTGGGACGCCGCTGAAATAAAGGCCATCTTTTGGCTCTCCGTGAATGACGCCCTAATATCACCGTCATAAGCCTAAAATTATTTTATGAATGTCTGATATGATTAGGTCACATTAATGGAATTAATGAACGTGAGCTACGTTGTAGGCGTACCCACTAGTTTATAAAGGCTACTTTGTCTTGAAAAAAGTGCAAAAATTTTTAGGTTTTTTTTAAAATTTTTCCTTGCGAAGCGGGCCTCTGGAAAAAAGGCAAACGCAAAATTCGGATTCAAGACCGTAAAAAATATATAGAACAGGATGGGGAATTACTTTTTTTCTTTAACAAACTCTTCGTTGACTCAACTAAATACTTAAATATTTGCAAAACAAATCCTCCTAATTGTGATTTTAATGAAAATTATCATTTTACCAATTGTATAATTAAACTTTTAAGAAAAACTTGAACTGTAACGACATCTAGATAATATTACGTGACCAGACCAACGTTTCTCAAATACTCAGTTTCCAAGTGACAGGGCATTGGATCACAAAAGCAGATCGCTGGATGGCGTATAAAGTTAACAAAATTATTAATCTTACATTAAAATGTATCAATAGTTTAATGTAAGATTAATAATTGTATCAATAGTTTAATGTAAGATTAACAATATAATCTATGTTCATCAATAGATAACGTTAAGATTTGGTCATTTACTATTTTCACGATACTGAAACTTATTAATTTATTTCTTAGTTTCTTTTCATCAACCTACAAACTCCCTAATCCTATTACAGTTCCTTGTAAGGGAGGACAAAATGTATTCAAGGTGACAAAAGCAACAAAAAAATTACCATCAAGTTTGAAGGTTTAAATCAACATGCAAGCATAGGCCTGGATTGCTTCATGATTACATTTTGTGGACGTTGCCTCGTGATTACTTTTCAGCGAGGTTCGGATAATCAGAAATGTGATGATGAGCTGATGTACTCCTGAAAATTGTATTTATGATTTACAAAAATTTAGAAATTCCTGTAAATTTGCTATATATTTTTGATGATGATAACTCCAGACAATGTCATTTCTTTTTTTTTTCTATACTTATATTGTACTCTTTCTCTAAACATTTATGATTTACATACATACAGTGTATTTTACTGAGTCAATTTACTAAAGAACAATTTTATTTTTCTTCCTGTATTACAGAAGAACATAATTTATAGATTTACCTTCTCCTATTTTTTATCTTACATATGATCTTGAGATCTCTGAAATGCATGTTACTAAAAACTATTATTACATAAATCTTATAAACATAAAGGTAATAGTTTATTAGAATACCAGATGGTATTTCTGTGTGACAGTAACGTATAAGTGTTTCATTAATTCAATGTGAATGTCTTCCAGGATTTACTGACTGACTGTATAAATGATGCCAAACAATATTTTTATGTATGTTTCATGTTTCAGAAGACCTGTAGAAAACAAAAATCCACTAAAATGTATTTCTCATAATTTCAAGAATAGATCAGTATTAAAGTTTGCGATGTATCAGGTAATAAAAACACTTATTAGCAACACAGCAAAAATACTAAAGCTTCAAATAAGAATAAATTCATGGGCTCATTTCTTCTGTATAACATTTATTGTACCTTCTAATAAAATATTTCAGTTAAATGTGGAAATGATTAATGATCTCATATTATATTATACACTATAGATTACACGTCATAAAAATATCTAATGATGATGTGATTCTTTTCTAGCATGCATCAGAAGGTTATATGTCTACAGTTGTTAGCTCCAACCTGGAAGTTTAGCCAAACACAAATTCAGCAACACAAATTATACTTGTGAACATAGCAGGATTCATGAATCACAAGCTTCTTGCCATTTAATCCCACAAATGCTCAAAGGGTTTACTATGGAGTTGGTCCCTCACAAAGCAAAGAGTGTGAGGGGCATATTATACTCTCTTGATTTGAATGTTAAAATCAATAGAAGGTTCCTGGATCCAAATCCTAACAACTTAATATTGGTGACATGTTACTTTACATTGTCAGATTTCATAAACATCATTAGAATTCTTTAGAGTCATCATGGATATGGCTCATGTATGAGAATGCCTCCTAATACATACTTGTGATAACATCAAATGAATAAGAGAAACTTAAGTACCCCATACAAAGCCACCTTCAGCCTAAAAATTACTTTGCAGATGAAAGGATCCATAACTCTACTAGGACTACTCCCTATTTTAATGCAACTGCCAACATGAAAAACTAGAAACTTGATTTACTGAACCGGGCTATTTAAATCTACTCTTCTGCCAACAATTTTGTTGCTACTTTTGGGCCTATTGCACTTTGAGATTGTTGATGATGTATCAGAAGTCAAACAGTATAGGTAAATTCATTACCAGCCTAAAGGAAGACACACAGTAATAAAAAACCTTTTCAGAATGATTTATGTTTAAACTGCATTAAAACTTACGGTGAATGATATTTCAAGAAATATAGTCAATCTATTGTTAACCAATCATAAAATGCTGCTGAAAGCTCCACACAAACAGCCTGCTGGCTTGTTTATAAGTGAAAAGCATCATTTACACAATATTTATGATTAACTCTTGAAACTATAAGATTTGAGTTCAAAATTCTTGAATCATTTCACATTTCATAACTCATCTTTCTGACAATGACCTCATGTCATTTCAATACAAACCAAAATAATATCAAATAGTACCTAACAAAAATCAAACTGGGTACTAGTGACAACTGAACACATTTTTTATTATGAAAATTTAAAGCAAATTCACTGCTTTAAAATTTTCTTTTCAATTTCTTATGCAAACATTTGTTTACATCTCCCAAATATTTAAAAAGTCTGAAACAATTATAAATAATTTTATTACAGAATTTGATACAGTGACAAATTTGCATAATTTACATAAATAACATGCCAATACAGAAAATTTATATTGTTCCCAAAAAATAAGTACATATTTGAGTATGAATACATATATGTTAATGCAGTTGTCTCAAACTCACAGACCCTGAAGCAATTTTATGCGGCCCTTGAATATGTTTCAGTTATGTATCTGTTGCAAATATGGTGTTCCAAAGATTTTAATTATTTGAAGTCTCAGTTTATATTATTTTCATTATCATTAAAAATGAGCCTGAGTAACGCACCAAAAAATCTACAAATCGAGGTAATTAATTCACATCGTGATATAAATCTCATTCAAAGATTTCAAGATACAGATTTAACTTTTATTTGCACTTGTCAAAAGATAAATATGCTTAGTTATGAATTTTTGTACTAAGAATAATCACTTTGCTTGGGAATACATTTATATGTAAACAGTATTTTTTTCAGAAATGAACCTGACTGACCCAATAAGCATTTACAATCTGCAATGAAGATATATTCTAGCAATTTTTTTCTAAGACTACAAACTTTATTAGAATTGCAACACTATCAAGTTTAAGAAACTAAGAATTTTGTAATTATTTACATAAAAATATATGCATTTTTATTTATGAGCTGAAGAAATGTTTAATAAATAAGAGAAAGGGAGAAGTTTGCTATTATTTTTTCTCAAGTGTTGTCCCACATTGAAAGTTTCTCTGAAAACTTAAAAAGTTTTCATTATTTATTTATTTTTAGTTTAACTTAAAGTAAGTCATATTTAGTTAGCAAATTTAAAATTTAGTTAATTTTTTTTTTAGTTTGTTGATAAAATATTTTCATGTTGGCCCATCACCTATTTTCAGAAAGAACATTTGGCTTGCATGCAATTTGAGTTTGAGACCACTATCATAATGTATTACCTGAGACTGACATATATTAAGATAGATGTGATGACAAATGATGACAATGATGACTTCATGATGACAAATTAAAGTCAGTGTACAAAAACATTAAAAAAAGGTTAGAGTACAAACTTGTTCTTTATAAGCAGGTTTTATTAAATTAAACATTAAGGAGATATTAGAAATATAGAAACAAAATTAAATACTTTGAAATTTGCATTACAAATTTTAAGTTTAAATTTTTGCAAGTAATTAAAAAAAGTCAGTGATTCAAAATTACTAAAATTAAAATAACTCTTTTATTGAAAAATTCACATACTGTGAAACTTGCAGGAACCGTATTTAGTTGTTAAATGCGCTAGTGTATCTTCTACAAAGGTAAAAGAAAAAATGTATAAAATGACATCATCTGGAACAGTACCGTTCATGTTGCAGTGTAAATGGAATCAAAACATCTTTTGATTTATTGGCCCAATGTTTAAATTAAATGATGTTTAGGCAAAGAAGTTTTGGTTCCTTTGATCAGAAAGAGACTGTTATTATACCACAGCCACCTTATCTGCCACATTTCTCACCAGAGTACTTCTCCAGATTCAACATTTCCTGATCACTCAAACTGTCCAAAATAACATGACAGTCAGTTTGTGACATGTATCAAAAGAAGCTTTCTACCAATGCTGCCTGGAATATTAGGAGGAATAGAGCAAGTATTTGTGTCCAGTGGATGTTACTTTGAGGATGATTAAATAATAATTGTTTATATTTTACACAACACAGAATTGTCATAACAAATGAGAAGTATTTTTAGCAATCTGCATCTTTTTCAAAGGTAAGAACATGTTAAAAATTATATTTTGAGAAAGGAGATTACTATTCCGAAGTTTAAATTTAAAGGGGCAAAGCAAAAAAACTGCACATTTATGGAGCTAAAATAAATATTAACATATGATGAAAATTATTAACAAATAGGAGTTTTTGATGAATACATGAAAAATGAAATTTCAAAGTATACTAAATTTCAAACACACAGTTTGTACATAGATGCATAGAATAAATTTAATAAATATAAATTACATTATCTAAACTTATTGGCCTTGGCAAACTTGTAAAACATTACCAAAATAAATAAATAAATAAATAAATATACAAACAATAATAGATTTCATCATGAGACTTTATATTATGTGTCAAAACTCAATGAACAGTTTTGCAGGTATCAGTAATTAAGACTTGCAATTAATTTATTGATGATACACAAATTTAAACTGAAATATTAAAAATATTGTATTTTTACCAAAAGTACATCTTTTGAGGGGGAAAAAAGTTACATAAATTGGAAAGGAAGTTAATATTTTATTTGTCATTTAAAATACTGTATAATAAATTATTGCTTTAAAATCTTGCAATATTTTATTTTTTATTTAATTAAATAACCTAATTCAAAAATAAAATCTAAAAAATATGCAAGTCAGGTGTACGTTTCCTCTTTAACAGACTACATTTGGTAAAAAATGTACATTATTTTTAATTCTTACAACTTTATCAAACAAAACTTATGTAATATATTATTAAACAATTATTCATATTATTTAAATCTGATATTATTATGTATTAATTAAATTTAAAGAAGAATTTATTGACAATATAAACAAAAAAAATTAAGAATAATTGCCATCAATATAAAAATATAAGACAGAAAATGATCCATTATAACAGTATTAAAATATATATTATCACTGGAAATTTATTATTTTTGGATCTCATAAAAATATATACATTGTGATTAAAAGCAATCTGATAACAATATATATATATATATATATATATATTAGCTATAGCATTCAAAACTTCTTAACTTATGTATGACAATAAATTATAACTTAATCTACAAAACAGAATTAATGACATGCAAAACTTGTTAGTTTATTACCTTTCAAATGCCCATTCTTTAGAAAATGCATATGATTTGATTAGAGTATGAAATTAGGAAGCTATTGTTCTTCAAGATAAAATACCTACCTTTGAAACAATACTTAAATTTATAAACCACAAATAATACTGATAAATAATTATTCTACTAAAAGCTAGACTTCTTGCAAAAGTAATTTTTAATGAACTCAAAAAAGATTTACAAGACTTCATTTGTTCTTCATATACTGCTTTAATACAACACTTTGACATTGCAATAAACGATCCAGCAGCACCCTTAACACCTGCCAATACAATAAACATTTTAGAACAACTGAAGACGATATATGAGAGAAAGTAAAGAAACATGTAAATAATAAAAATAGCACACATACTTAATACAATTTTACTTTTTTTTAAAGGGCTGTCCAATTATTTAATGATTTCCTGATTGGAGAAAGCTGATAGATTAACGATGATAATCTATACTTTTTAATTAAATATATATGACATATTAATTAAATATGTATTTTGACAAAAACATTCATAACATTAATCGTATATATGTTTTACAAAGTTCATTTATTATGAAACATGAGTTTGTAAAGTAAGGTTTGGTTTACTTTAATCACTTGTGATTCCCAAATAATTTAATAAAATTTGTGGTTGGCAGTGATTCCCAAATTGTGCATTGCAGCACCCGGGAGAGCTGCGAAATACTGTAAAAGCTTTATAATTAACTAAATCAAGACACTTGGCTTAGCTAGAGAGAGAGAGAGAAAAAAAAAAAAAAAAAAAAAGCGAGAAGCTAAAAATATCTTGATTTTTTTGTATGGTTTGTTTTACTTGACCTTGTACAAAGGTAAAGTTGCTGGTGCAAGCAGTCTTGCAACTGCACCTCGGCAATACTGGACCTTTTCTCATGATGATCTAACCTTAGAACTCATACAAGGTCAGAACATTTACATGGCTCATTCCATAAAAAGAAACAAATAACTTCTCTTCATACTGTTACTAAAATTAGCTCATTCTGTCGTTTGATTCTGGTTTTCGTGTATCAACATCCAGAGGTCGTTTTTCTCCCAGAATCTAAAATCTACCATTTCATTTCAGATTGGAGTTCATGCGATTTATGCTTGTCACAGAAACGCCAGTCAAATCTGAAGCAAATGTAGCAATTTCAATACCGGATTTGCTCCGATATTTTATATATAGGAAAATGATCCCATATTTTGAAAAAAACATAACATTAATCTTAACAGAACTGCATAGTGGTTTTCCAGCCTTATGAGGTTTTGAAATTATACACATATGTCAGAAATGAAGCAGAGGTCATAACAATTGTTTTCTTCTTTTACTCCTTAGTGAATAAATGAATGCTTTAGTTGCTTTTCTTAATGAAAGTGTGTGGGAGGTGTTGCAAATTGTGGGGGGGGGGAGTTTTAAAAAAAAAGGCATGTTTTCCTACTGGTCATCAAATGATTGACATTAGCAAATTTTAAAATAAAAAGCTGGATGCAACATAATCTATCTTTTCACACATTTTTTTCATTGCATTCTATTTGCTCAACAATAGTTATATTTTATAGTGTAATTTTTATAATATGACATCTTGATATGATAGAACTATATTCTACAGGGGACGAACTATATTCACATTTTACTATATACAGTGTTCTCAACTTAGGTTGACCTGTAATATAGACACATCGAAGTGCCTAGACACTTTGTGATGCATTTGGACTGTTTTGGAAGACTTTGCGAAAAGCATATACGGAAGCGTTGCCAGCTCGATTCAGTCAGGTGGTTTATAATACAAGTCTAACAAAATTAAACTCAATGCTTCATATAAATAAACAGTGATATAAGTTAATCATGTAGTATAGTTACTGTTACATTACTTCTTGTTTATTGTCTAGTTTCACATTTTTTTTGCTGTTGTATCATTGTTGATGGACCAATTTTTGAACAGTAATAAAAGTATTAGTGCAGATAAAGTATGTCTTCAACCAGTGGTACAACTGTGAAAAAAAGAAAATATTGCAAATATGATAACGGTTATTTAGAGTTTGACTTTACGTCAATAGAAATGAGTGGTGAATAGAGACGCCAGTGTGTATTGTGTATGAAAGTTTTGGCAGTGGAGTGTATGCTTCCAAGCAACTGAAGTGTAATTTAGACACTAATCACCACAGCATACTTAGCAAACCTCGATATTTTTTGCCAGGAAGTTAAAAGAGCTAAAACTACAATAAAATGCATTTTTTTTTAAAGACTGCATCAATACCATACAATGCTTTGCTAGCAACTTAAAAGGTGGCTTACAGAATCATGAAATACAAGATGCCTCATACCGTCACAGAAGAATCTTTCCTGTTGCCTGCTGTAGATATGATGAACATCATGGTTTGTGAGTCTACTGGGACGCTGCCTTTAAAAGTGTATTTGTCCAATAACACAATTAGTTGGAGAATACAACATATGGTGAAGGATATCAAAGGTGAATTAATTGAAAAAATTACAGGAATGGAATTTGGATTTGCAGGTAGATAAGGCTACAGATAATAAAGGATGCTCATTTCATGTGTTATATATGGTTTATAGATGATAATAATATTAAAGAAGACCTTCTGTTCTGTAAAAACATCACTGCAGGAGTGAAGGCTGAGGATATGTTTGAGATTCTTGAAACATTCATACCCCAAAACAACTTGAATTGGATTAAGTGCATTGCTTTCTGTGCTGATGGAGCTCACTCCAAGTCTGGCTACAACGGAGGATTATAGGCACTTATTCGAAGCAAATGACCAAATGTACTGTGGACTCATTGCACTAATCACAGAGAAGCACTTGCCTCAAAGCATCTGAATTCCGTACTGAATGGGTTAAATGTAGTAAATGTGTGGTGCATGTGGTAAATGTTATAAAATCTCATCCACTGAAAGTAACTTTTCTTAAAAAAAAAACTATGTGAGGATATGGCAGATAAACACTCATCTTTGTTATATTATAGCAGTGCATGACGGCTTTCTTGTGGTAAAATTTTATCACACAGCTTTGAGTTGCAGCAAGAAATTTTTATTTTACTTGAAGGATACAAAGATGCAGAAGATTTTGATGTCATTTTTTTAAAAATAAAACTGGCATATCTATGCGATGTTTTACAAAAGGTGAATTCTTTTAATCTCTGTTTGCAGGAAAAAATATGCACTTTTTGAAATCAATGAAAAAAGTATCAGCTTTTATAACAAACAACAACAAGAACAAAAAAATCTATGCAGAAGGAAACTAACTGAAAGAAGATGCAGGCAATCAATGTTTTTTAATATTGTGGAAATTTCAATGTCAAATAAGCTTCATATTTTTCTAGGTATAAAAACCAGGTTTGAAAGAGCATTTATCGCAGCTAATTATCTGGTTTGAGAAATGCTTTCAAAATGAAAACTTTGATAGGTTTGCATCAGGATACATTTAATGTTTGTTATTTGTTTGAGTTTACTTCTGCAGAAGAACAGAATTTTATAAAGTTACCCACAGTTTGAAAGCCCAATTTGTCAGCATAGAATTGGCAGAATTTTAAATTTCAATAAAAGATTAACATCCCTTTCTAAGTAATGAGACTCAGCGGATTTTAATTCCATTTTCTAAGTTGTATTTATGGCAAGCTGGATTTTTGACAGTCACTGTAACAAAAAGCAAATATAGAGCAAAAATAAATGCAGAAAAAGGAAATGACGGTGGCTGTGTCCATTTTAATTTCACGATTTGAGAAAATGTGTTGTGCTTTGCAGGCTCATATACCACAATATTAGTTTAATGTTAATAAAGTGAAAAAGTGTTAAAATGAAGATACACAAGTTTGATTTATTTTTATCTCTTACTTATCATTAGCCATACTTAAGAAGGGGCGCCATGGAAAAATTTTAATTTAAAAAAGCCGCCTTAATTCAGAAAAGTTTGGGAACCACTGAGCATACTAGTAAAGCATACTAGGCTTACACTGAGGAGAAGAATGCCTTTGTGGAGTGTTTCCTAAGGGAGACTGGCTCATATTCATATTACAAATGGGAAAAGTCATGAAAGCATTCATGTAGCCAGCTTATTCACTAGGATCTGAATCACTGAGCACTGATAGTTCAATCTGGGTTCAAATCCCAGTGAAGAGGACTGCTGCAAGATAGTTTTCATAGTTTTTCCTTGTGTAACATAAATATGAACCAACCTCTCTTAGAAAATTCTCCATGAAGACATGCCTAGAGGGACAGTCTTAGTGTGCTTTGTCAAAAACTAATTCATTCAACTACAGCTGGATTTTGTTTGGAAAGATACATGGTAAACATAATATTATGAATACGGCATACATAAGAAGGAAATAATAAAACTTAACTGTTTTGATGCTGCAGTGTTAAAAAAAATTATGGGCTTAAAATTTCAGACTTATAATATAACAATATGTGGATTTATTATAATAAAAAAGTTCAAATTTTATTCTTAAATAGATAGATTTTTAACATTAAGAATTTCAAAGCATTCTTAAAAACATCATTATACTGCTAGTATTAAGAACTTAGCAATACATTTTAAAATTAAAATCACAAATAAAAGATGTATAATGTAATTTTAAATTCTACTAATACCATGACCTTAAGGATTTCAATAACCAAATATTTGAAGTAAGCAAAGTTAAAAAATACATGTCTTGCATGAAACTTGTATAAATAGCAATCCCTACAAGTTAATTTTACTTGTTTTTAATAGCCCATACATTAAAATTTACTCTCTGTTTTATTTCAACTGGAATTGAATATTTAACTATTCATTGGAGGCTTCATTTGGAGAATTCTCAGTTAAACAAAACAATTATATTTATAAAATATCTAGCCTTCAGCTTATGGTCTTTTTCATATGCAGAATATATAATAAAACCTTGGCAGTAATTATGCGGTCACAAACTTTCAACATATACTATATAGGCTAACACCATTAAGAGTCAATGATGTAACTTGAAAACAACAACATCTAGTGAAAATTAAAAACATGGCAAGCACCTGCAAAATATTTATTTGGAAATTTCCTTTTCCATGTTTTGCCTTTTAAAAAAATAAATGTGTACTTCTGTCTTTTTATACCATGTATAAAGTTATAAACTTATATTTTACCTTTTGCACAATAGGCATATATTGCACTTCATTTTCCAACATTACGTGCTTATATGCTAGCTTATCTATGAATATAGAATTTTTAAATGGTCGTGATTGCATATTTTTGGAAACATTTATCTCAGCACACAAATCTCTTAAAACTC